ATTATTCGATCCATTTGAACGCCATGTGCAAAATGTCAAGACCCCCACCTAAATACTAACAATGGGAATAATTTTTGAAGTTGCTACTTATACACGCAGTTGAATGGGGCATCGGTAATTTTTGCGAATTTCCTACATTATCGATAGATCAATAACGTAGGAAAAGCACTAAAATTACCAATGCCCCATTCAAACGCGTGTATAAGTAGCAACTTCAAAAATTATTCCCATTATTATTGTTTAGGTGGGAGTCTTGACATTTTGCACGCGACTTTCAAATGGATCATCTTCAGCAATTTTCATTGAATTCTCTGCTTTTTTCCAGCTATGGACCCCGCCATAATACCCTTAAACCTCTCACAACCCCTTGGTAGCGCCTGCATTCGGTGCATATTTTCTATTTCCTTTCTGAATAATCAAGTTAAGTCGGTGGGTTAAAATTTTCATCGACATGAAGGGGACGAATGCACGCATAAAGAATATCTTCAATGATCTAATCTCTAAATATCTGAAGTTCCACAACAACAATCAGTTAAACCACGTGTTAAATTGATGTTTGTGTCGTAACAGTCCCTCTCAGCAGGATCGATCTGATGTCCCAGTTAACAGTGAAGCAAGAAAGGACGCGGGTGGGAGAGAGCCCTCGATTGGGAAGACGTGTGAGGGGATAGAGAGATTCGGTCGAAGGTTGGAGCCGCTGGCGAACCCCGGGACGAGGGCAGGCATTGACCTAGATGCCCTCTGAATGCTATGAGAGTCGTCCCTGGCCCTGGTGCGCATGCATCCCAAACACATGACGGGTCTCTACCACCTCAAGTCCCTGCACTGGTCACGAGTCTGCGTCATTTTATCTCGAGCCATCTCCACACGAACACATCCACATAGGGGGGATGTATTTCTCTTTTTCATGACTCTGTATCCTGTGAGAAAGGGAATGAATCGGTGGGGATTCGAGAAGTATCGCTATCTAGAGAGGAGGGAGTGCGAGGTTGTCGGCACGACTCTCCCTCGAGCCAGCCACCGCGTCTCGGGTATTGATCGCGTCTGCGATCTCGTAATGTTCAGCGATATGGCCGAAAATTTTTTCACGTGTCGCTGAAATTATTCCGGGAGTTTTGGAGGATTATGTAAGGAGTTTTAGAGAAATTTTGTTAGAAAAACATTGAAATTTCAGGGACAGGTGACTAATGGTTCTCAGGAGAGTGACAGTAAATTCGATTTAGGGAATTGAATAATGGAACTGAAAACAAATGAATTTCAGTGGAAAGTCAATGAAATTATACATTTTTGAGCAGCAAGACGACGGGAATTCTCCAACTTACATTAATTTTCAATCAAAACATGATTATTTGCTATCAAATTATACGGAATTTTTTATGAATTCAGAAATCAAGAATATATTTACGTGAATTTTGCTGACTTCTATTAATTTTTATGGAGTAATTGAACTGAAAAAGACAGTTTCCATTTATTTTTCCATGGAATTTGAAATTTTTAAAAACGAAATTCTTTACAATTTCAGTGGGACTATAATGTGATAGAAATTTCCAAGAATTATATCGGAAATTTCAGCCAAAAATCTTGAACAGTAATCCTTGAACATGTTTGCCAAAATTTTCGGTAGGGTAACCAGACCAGTAGGTAGACACCGACCAAAAGATAGACGTTTTCAACTTTTTTTAAAATATTCTATAAAAAATATAATAGAAATTGTATTACAAATTTCCATTTTTGATAATAAAATTAATCTAAACAATACGATGATTTTTTTATTTTTTATTGATGAATATATTGAAGGTAAAGAAAACAAATGCTCGGGAGGTAAAGTATTGGCCCTCACTGGCGATGTGAGTAGTTAGACAACAGTCACACAGTGTTGACGGAACAATGTGAAAAAACAGTCATGACGACAAATGAACACGGTCTCTGTTCGATTATTATTATCGAAAAGGATCATTCTTCATTTTTAAACATGCAAAAGGATGAATTTGTTTGACTTACCATTAAATATGACCCTCTATCTATTGGTTACTCACCGTCTATCTTCTGGTTAGTCGTCTGTCGAAAAATTCACATAAAGGGGGAGGATAGTGCTTTCGAAAAACAAATATGCCATTTTAAATTTAATGAGTGTTTGACAATTCAAAAAAGTCAAAAGTGTCTATTTTGCCCCACTTTCGCCTATAGTGTATTGAGTTCTTCGGGATTTTCATTAGAACTGTAATAAAAAATGCAATAATTCTCATAAAAATTGCAAAAAATATGGTCTTTTTTAATTTTTATTCGTGAAATTTCCCTCACAACATTGCAATTTTTACTTTAATTACTATTATTAATTACTATTATTCTTTAAAAAATGCCTCAAGAATATTATAATTTTTGCTAGAATTATTGACTAGATCTATTATATATTCATTACAACTGAAATTGAAAGGATCAATAGGATTCATTCGTTAATGTATAGTTGAAAAGTTTTATCCTCGACCGATTATTTTGTATATATTTCCAAAACAAGTAAATTGAAAAGAACATGTCACAAGAGTTTTCCGTAGATAGATAAATTCTCTACAAAAAGTATTTGTCTACGTTTTGCGATAAACCTACGCATTTCTGAGATATTTGCAAAAAAAACTTCAACTAAATTTAGAACTTTTTCCAGGCCCTCTACCTATTTCGCACTGAATCGATTTTACCTTTATCTTCAGTCAATTATGAATAGAAAACTACTGTTGTGAATACCCTTTAAGTTTTTCAGTATTTTCAGACGATGTCAACAACGATTAAGTCCAGGCAATTAAGGCAGATTGTGGGAGAATAATAATGACACATGATAAATTTATTTTTCTGTTCAAATAAGAATTGGAACGGAGTTGTAAATGTTCAAACAATCATTTTTGGAGCATGTAAACAATAGATAAAGAGGAAAAAAATACCCAGAGACTTGAATAATAATGTTATATCTGTAGGCAATTGCTCAGACGAGCTAAAAATGAAATTCAATCGGATTATTTCGCCGATATCTCGAAAACTGTTGAGTGTAGCGAACAATGTCACCATATCTTTTTATAGCTCGTGAAATTTCCTACAAAACATGTCTTAACACATTTTTCTCTAAATCTCTTACCCTCGGAGATATCCACGATTTATTTTCGCTTGTTTTTTTTTTCGTGCAATTTTCGACCTTCCAAAATTGCCAAAAAATGAAAACACTTTTTCATCACGCTGTGACGAAAAGTGAATTTCCGCCACATTGTGTTGAAAAATATTGTTCGTAACTCGTGAAAAAATGTTTTTTAGCTCGTGATTATAGCTCTTACAATATTGAAAATTCGTATTTTAGATAGGCGCAATCGGTCGAACAGTTTCGGAGATATTTAACCTTTTGTATAAATCTATTTTATTAAAGGGTTGAATATCTTCCTGTAGACACCCTGTAGCATGTGGTTACGATTGTATGCCTGTCATAAGGACAGGGAATACGCTACGGATCCATTCGGAAGCCTACTAACAATGGAATTGGTAGAAATAAAAAAAAGAGAAGGACTAATAACGCAAAAAGTAACGGTCACATGCCTTCTGTCGGATGGGCTCGAACCCCTGCTTGTTTTTTCATTGAACTTGAGGTGGAACAATTCACAACTACTGAGTAGATGAAAATAGTGACTTTATTTATGAATGTGAATTTTTAATGCGTATTTTATTACAAAATCAATTTTTTGAATTCAGTAGTGAAGTGGTAAACGGAGATAAGTCGACTTATCTCCCAGTTGAGTTTTTGAGGAATATTTCCGAATCTAAGGGAGATAGCGGAATTTTCGTAATTACATTTGTTGTAGCACGCAATCAGCTCCACAAAAAAGGTTATAATAAAAATTTTGCTATCTCTCTTAGATTCTGACATATTGATTGAAAACTGGTCAATAGTCAAAATTGAGTTATCTCCTTTTACCACTTCGCTACTGATTCATTTGCAAAAATTTACGAATACATTTAATTGGATATTTTTTAAAATGAATAACATGATTTTTTAATAAAAAATGAGTTTATTTTTTTTATAAAAAAATATGAAAATACTTTTAATAAAATTGTCATCAACATTTTTTTTATGATCGCACACGCAACTATCGCGAGACTCATTTTTTAACCCCTATAAATCGCTACGCAAATGTCCTTAACCGTGAACGTCTAGCTCACTCACCTCTTGAACCCTGAAAAATAATTGTCCCCTCGTCATCGGCATAACTTATCCTCCATTCAATCTAATTCAAATGTCTGATTCTCACCAGATCATTTATTTCGGTCCACAAATTCCCCCAGTCAGAGGATTAAGTAGGTTTCCACGAGGAAAGAAGAAGAAATCATTGATACAAAAAATATTCTCCACCTTTTATTTTACTCCATTCAACCGTTCATTTTTGTTTTTGTACCTGATGAGGATCGCGAGTTTTCTCGACTGTACTGCGTAGAAAGTCGTTCTCCACCCCTCCCCTCATCAAGCACTTGAGACACGATTGGTGGGCCAGATAATTCCACAGTTTCGTCAACCGTTCACTACGTTCACGCGTGTATGGGTTTTAATGATGAAACATTTTGTTACGAAAATATATTATTGATTGAGTTTTTTTTGTACATGTTTCGATGCCCGAAACCGTTCAAATGAGACTTAAACTCCATTTCAAATCTGTTTACCGCACAAAATAGAGAGAAAAATCACAAGTTTTGGGGTCAACAGTGACCCCAGTTGATAACCAGAGAAATTTAAGTTGAAAACATGACAATCTCTGTAGCTTCACTATTTCCTTCATAATTCCTTTTATTCGACACTAAAAGCATTTTTTCAACTTCTCAGAAACTATTGAAAAGAAAAAAATCCTCGTATTGAGTTTCCCATCTCAGATTTCTCCGCTTATCATCCTTAAACAGATTCGTTATAATTTCAAGAAATGAAATGTTCACAATTACCTGAAGAAGCTAACCCAATCCAATTTTTTATGTTTCAGACATCAACAGAGCCATAACAAAGGACCCCGTGACCTCCAACGTACAAAAATTTCGCATAATACCATTAATTTTTCTAAAACCCCATAAACTCGAGTGATAACTACAGGATGATAGAATAATCCTGAATCCCCAAGTTATGTGTAAAGACGAACAAAATCCCATAATTACCTCTTGAACCCAGTGAGCTCCCCGAATCGGTGCCATATTGAATAAACGTAGTGACATCATGACTCATAACGATCCCGGGACCACAGTTGATCCGGTCCTGACTTCTGCCTAAACCGGATAACCCTCCTAAAAACACCTAAACCTCATAATCCGTGATGATATGTGCATAGGTAATCCTAGGGTACCCAGTACCATCAGGTCCTCTGTATCAATGTCAATATGCGAGGGGCTGCCAGTGGTTCAGTGTCATCAGTAACCCTAAAAGTTGGTGGTACAACAGTTCAAAATAATCTAAGAATATCGAACAATATAGCATCAGCCGCTGTGCGGTACAATGATACTACCCTTGTCAACAATACAAATAACAATACAAATAGTCGTATCAACACTATTGGAATGGGTACTGGTGATGTTGCACTGGCACCAACATCCAGGATGAGTCCACCAACAAGTATGGATACATCAGAGGGTCCCCACACAATGGTGAGTGGTTCAACAGTTGCACTTGTTAAGGCTGAAACACCAGAGCACATGGCTGGTACATCAATAGGGCCAACATCAGCATCAACACTGAGTGGTCCAGTTGGTTCTGGTAACTCACTGTTTGCCGGTATTGCCAGCAGTAATAAACGACCCAGGCCAGATGATTGGTTAGCACCAAACAGTCCAAATTCACCTCAAACATTGTCAAATCAGCAGTTGATTTATACAACACCACAGCAGCAACTTGATAGAACACCACCACCGGTATCTACGACGCAGACACCACCGCTCAAGCAGCAAGCTATGCAGCAACCTATTACGTTATCAACGGGAGTTGGACAGGGACAGCAGACCAGTAATAATGGTTATGTCAGCCCCATGAGCTCGGGCAGTTATGATCCTTACAGTCCAAATGGAAAAATTGGTGAGTTTGTGTTTTTTATATTTTATTTATTTGGGTGGAAAGGAGAAAAAAGGAGCTGAAACAAGCGAACGGAGTCGATCTAGACGAAATTAGGGTTGTGTGAATATTTTTAAATCATGTGCGAAACTCGTTCGCACTTGCAAAATGTTTGCACATATGATTTTTTGACCCTTAAACTCTTAAAATCCCCTTAATCGAATCTTATTTGAATTACAAATTTTCATTTTCTAGTGACTTTATACATTAATTAAACATTTTTATCTCTTCCCAAAAACGTTTATTCATCAAAGATTTTATTCGAAGGAAAGTGTAAACCTCAATTACAAAATTATTTATTCAGCTATAACAATCACCTCTAGTTAAAGCAAGAATAGTTCAATTCTACTAGAAAACCACTAATTCCCAACATTCGTATCCCATAATTTATAAAAAAATAGATATGATCCACAAAATCAACATCAAAATTTAATGAATCGATTTTAGTTCAATAGATCCTATACCATACTCAGACACTAAAGACGTCAGTATTACCAAATACAGCTGCTCCAACACCATAACAATTTGTTCACCAAAAATTGGAAGTCAATTTGACTCAATTTTAACATTTAACAATCAGCTCAACTTCAGCTATATTTCGTAACCAATGCGGACAAATACTTAGATACAACCGCAAAATACCCACATGTCTCGCAGGAAACGCGGGAGAGCCTCTATTTGTCCCAGCTAAATATGAATATAAAAAACTACAAAAAAATCGTTCAAATAGATGGATAAAAAATACTCGCGTTAACATACCCGCATGTTACCACAAATCTTTGTTTTGTCTGAATGAAAAAATCTTATTGAGAATCCCAACCGCGAACCAAACAAAGAGATAACTATTTTGTCCAGAGAACAGTATTCAATTCAGTCTTTACCAACAATCTATCTTTGTCATTCAACTTGAGACATCAGTACTTATATTTAACGCTAAAATGCGGATGATTACGCAACATCAATTATTTTAGCCTCCACAGTGAGATGTTTTAGTCTTTAAATTACTTTTTTTTATTAAAGAAATTGTACGTTTCTGATTATTTCAAATAATTGCAAATAATATTTAACGAACATGAATAACTCCGCGATTTTTGTAAATGAGAATAAGAAGAAAGGGTGATTAATTTTTAATAGAAATTCACTCCTTTTAAAACGCAATTTTCACGTAAAAATTCATCATTTCGTTATAATTAACGACGGCCAGTTCACAACAAAAATCATTCGAAAAAAAAATCTTATTGAGAATCCCACCCGCTGTCTAAATAAAGAGATAACTATTTTGTCCAGAAAACATTATTCAATTCCGCCTTTATTAACAATCTATATTTGTCATTTAACTTGAGACAACAGTACTTGATTTTAACGCCATAATCCCACGTTTTCTCGCATGAGAGGAGCAAAATGTGGGTGATTACGCAACACCAACTATTTTGGTCTCCATAGAATACACAGTGGCGCTGTGTCTACTATTCGAGGTAAAGAGACGAGCTTTTAAAATGTGATATCTACACTTTTAGATATGACAAATTCATTGATGTAGGTCGTTGAGTATTTTATCGCAATTCGTAACAGCTGACCTGAATAGTCTTTGGCTTTTTTTTTTCAGAAAGAAAAAAATTGCGGAAACTTACCACTTTTCTGCTTCTTATCTCGTCTCTTCTTTTTGCTTTCTGTGATCAGCTGTGACTAATTTATCCTGCATTCAGGGAGTCACGGATTTTAAACTCAACATGTGACTCTACTCTGGCCTTTTCAGAATAACTACCTTATATTCAAAATGATACATGTTTTCCCTCCAGTATTTTTTAGATGGAGGACAATGATAGTCTCGGAATTAGAGGGCGGTCGATATTTACTGGTCCGACTTGCTAATGCCACACGGGGCCGAGGCTTTTCGAATTTTTTTACATTTCAAACTAGGTCATTTGAGATGTTTTTTAAAGTTTCTTGAATTCTTGAGGTGTATAGCCAGTGTTGGAGTGGAAATTTCTACTGGGTTTTTTTCTTTTATCCTTCACTGTCAATTGTGGTGATTAGCATAAGGTAACTGCGACTCGTGTGTGGGATACGTTCAGACCGTGAGATGAGTCAAAATTCAATTAATATTTTATTTTCTCGATATCGTTGAAGGAAAAGGTTTGGGGAATTCGTGTTATTTTCGTTGCCGTTTGAAATTATTTCTAAACGATTTGATTAAATTCGGTCTTAATTCTTCGTCATTGCTTTAGCTCGTTATCACCACGTTTAATGAACGAGAATGAGTTCAGGGTTATCACCGTGATATCCATATTTGGGAGAAATAAATAGAGGAATTTTTTTTAACGAATGTTAGGCGGGACAATGGGGAGTTTTGTTGGACAATAGTGATACCTGCTTTAGTGTTATCCGACTATCGATTCAATTTCGCCGAGTGAAACTATAGGAAATGTGAAGTACGACGTTGGATAAATGGAATTACAACCGCCACCTGTAGGTTCACTTCAAAGAAGCAAGTGCATTGGAAACGGAGGAGAAACTACAGGTGGCGCTATGCGTAATTTCTGCGATGTAGAATCCAAAATAATCTTTGAGGAATGTTTTTTTTTATTTTTGGGAGGAAAATGATAATCATGAGGAAACGTGATTGATTCCTGAGATTAATTTATTCTTTCCCATTTTTGCTTCCGAATGGAAGCATTGTAATTGTTCAAATTTAAGTTTTAGATTTTTTAGACTATTATCCAAAAATTTCGGAAATGCAATTTTTAGACCGTGTCCGTACGTATATGTGTATGTATATGTATGTATGTATGGGGTAAAGTTTTTCTTCAATTATTTGCTAATAAATAGATGGAATTGATTTTTTTTCCAAATGTAGGTATTGTTGAGCCCTATCGATCGCCATTAATTAAAATTTAATTCATCGATTAGCTTTTTGAATTTTTTAATTTTATCGAAAATCGGTTGTCCCACGATAACTAAAAAAGATGTTCTGAATTGAATGAATAATGGCTTAAAAAATTTATTTAGATATCCCTTCGCCCTAGTTCGAAGATGAAGGCGCTAGTAATCGCTATTTTGGTTTATTCGAAAATTTTCAAAAAATTGTATTTTTTGAAAATCTAAATTGCAGGCATATCTTGGAACATCATGCTTCAAATGAATTTAATCATAGCTTAAAATGTTTGTTTTAATACCATTAAGTCGAAGTTAAAAGATGATTATGATGGCTATATTGGTTGATTTGATTTTTATGATGATTGTTGAAAATGTTGAATTTTTCATAAATTTACCTGAAAGTGAGCTTTCTGATGGTTTCTTCAAATGTGATGTTTCAAATTCATTCAAGTATGTGTAAATAAAAATTTTCTATTAACATTTTATCGAAGTACTGAGGGGAGAGAGAACTGTAAAAAAGACAATCGGTTGTATAGAAAAAGGGATAATAGGCATAATGATGCAGATAACATTCAACGAAGTTGAAAATCTGCCAAAATTGAGTAAAAGGAAATCTTATTCAATTTAATAAAATGAAATAAACAATGAATTAAAAAATACATGATAAAAGGAAATGACGTGCAATATAACCGTTCGGAAGCATATCGCTAATTTATTAGCAAAAATAACTATACTATGTACAATACAAGAGCAATTTCCCACTTGTTTCATGTTAAAGTTGATCAATTCATCTTAAATGATTGCTTTAAGGAAAGAGAATAATGCACTTTTTTAATTATTCAAAAGAATTAGAACGAATTTGTAATGAACATGATTGATTTCATGATTTTAATTAATACCAATAGAAAGAAAGCCTCACTGATTGCTAATGTTAATTTGTTTCTTCTGAATCTTTATTTCTAGGTAAAAATTGATCATCTAATCTCTCAATTATTTTTTTGATAAATGAGAGTAAAAAGAGAGGGTAATTGATTTCTAATGGGAATTCATTGCTTTCAAATTGCTATTTACAAATCAAAATTGATTACTTCGTCTCTAAGTGCTTATTTTGAAGAACAAAAATAAAGTTCCTCATCGAAGTCCTCCACAACTATGAATGAATTTCGGATAATCATAAATGAAACAGAGAGAAATGTTCACTAAAAATTACGGAACTCACAGTTCGCTTACCGATTACGGGTTCGACTCAGAAAATTTAAGTGAGGATATCGTAAGTTTTCACGGGAGATTCAGATAAAAATTACGTGACAGTTCCGTAAAATTTCCTACAACCACATTGCGCTCCGGAATTATGGAAAAAATACGTAATTTTTATTGAATATTTCTCTCCGTGTAACAAACAGAATTGCGAACCGAATTAGACAAAAGTCATGTGGCCGTTACTTTACGTGTTATTAATATTTTTTCTCTAATTCGGAAGTTCATTACCAACTCCATTGGTAATGAACTTCCGAATGGATCCGCACCAATTTCCCCAGCAATTCTAAAAATGAAAAATTGCAATTCCTATTCAACTTTCTCATTTTATTTGATAGATATTATCTTCGGCATATTTCGGTATTGACAAAATTAATATAAATGGATTAATTTTCTAGATATTAATAATTAAATACAAGACAAGGCATATACTCCAGGAAACGTTATATCCTTGGAACGTATGATTCCCAAAATGTCTGATCCTTGCAGCGTGTACAATTAAATTCATCTCATAAGCCAAAATATTAACCCCATTCAACTTAAACAAGAATTATTGGCATAATATTTAGATGAAAGGGAATATTGACTAACAACTATACTTTCAATTGAAAAAATTCATCGAAAATTTACACTCTTTTAAATAGACCACAACGACCTCTGTATCTGTCAAATATTACATAATATAAAATGGAAACAAACATAAAGTGTTGTCATATAACTTTTCAAGTCATCCAGATGCGAAAATTATTGCTAATGGTGGTGTGTCATTTAAAAAAAAAAATTGTATGTTCTGTCATTAGACCGAAAACAACTTTTCTGGCGAATACCTT